GGTTTTAGGCCAGCACTAAGGGGAGCAGCAGGCAGACAAGAGAGGCCTGCTGCGCCAATTCGTGTGCGTTAGCCCCCCTAGCCTGGGATCGAACTCAGGCCCTCAGGGGTAAGGGCCCTGAGTCTTAACCCCCTAGGCCAACAGGGAGGCTCTGCTAACTGGTGATCTTTTTAGGCCTATGGTTCTCTCCACCAGCCTCTGAAGGCTGCTCCTCCATCAGCCTCAGCCTCTCCAAGGCTGCTCCTATGAGCAAAGCAAATACGGAACACCTTTTAGCCTTTGTTAGATCAACTCAATGCCAACCCCCAAAATTGCTTATTTTCATATTTTCTGACTCATTTCTTTTCTTTTCTTGTGCAGTCTTCCTGCCCCTTTCCTATCTGATCTCATCATCCCATCTTTCCCTTCCCCATGAACCCTTTTCTTCTTTGTCCCCCAAACTCGGTTGATTTCCCTTCCCTTTTCCTCCCCCTTGTACTTATGGCAATAGAACAGGTGGGTTCTGTCCCCAGGTTGGTTTGGTCTTAACAGCGGCACAGGTTTAGTTACCTTCTAACTGCCTGTTTGCTTCTCTGTATAATGCCAGTATTAATCCAGCATCATAAGGTAGTTGCCAGTATTAATCCAGCATCATAAGGTAGTTGTCATAAGACATATAATGTGCTTAGGACAGTACCTGGTATCTAGTATAGATTCATTAAGTCTTCGATCTATTTTGTAGTTTTCTTGGGGGGGGGGTAGAGACCCTGTTTGTTCATCTTCCCCTTCACCAAGCACACCTGATAATCATGTAGTATTTTTATGGTTGTGAAGCTACTCTAGTAGGTCCCAGAGGGTTTGCAGAAGTGAGAATAGACAGCATGTGTTTGTGAAGCAAGCCCTTGCTCCCTGTTTTAACCTACCTTAGTCCTGGTTTTCCTGTGTGGTCACCTTAGCCAGCTGAAAAGAGCACATATCAGAGGACTGGAGAAACTTCTGGCTACTACTGTCCTACCAGGTAGCGACTGAATTTCACTTCAGTGCAGTGAGCTCTCTGTGTTACAGTTATTGCAAGTGGTGTGTGACAGTTATTAGTACCCACCCACCCCCACCCTCACCCCATTCAACTGGTTGGGGCTGTAGCCAGGAGAGGTGGGTGTGTGCAGGCTGACCCTGCGGGTGCTCCCACCACCTCCTCCAGAACCCCTGCGCAGAGCCACCCAGGACTTCTGTGCCCCCGGCTCCTCCACATCTGGCTGGTGCACTCGTCATCTCCCTGGTTAAAAGCAGAATTCAACTGAGTAGACCCAAGGATGTAACTGCTTTTATGAAGGATTCATAAAGCTGGCAGCTTCCCAGCTAGCAAGGATTTCCAGCCAACTATACAAATGAAAGGTTTTTAGAGAAAGGGAACGAGATAGGAAGGTGACCTTGCTGTAGTAATTCCCTTCTCTTGTCGGGAGGGAAGGGGCCAGTGCTGAGGCCACTCCAGGTTGCCCAGTGAGGTTCCATTTCCGGGCTAAAACAACAGTTCGGTCCCTGTTTGGCCTACGGGGGTGGAAGGCTTAGCCCAGGTGCCACCGTTGTGAGCTAGTTGTCTCTCAGCATCCTGAAAGTTTCCTTTAAGTGACTTCACAAAGTGAGGGCCCTTTGCTTTGCCCCTTTGTATTCTAACAATTGCACAGCATACAGTAGTATTCTGTTCTTTGAATACCTGTAATAGCTGTTACGCCATCTAAGTAGCCTTATCAGTCTGCAGCAGAGTTAAACACTGAACTAATTCCAGACCATTTCTGGTCACCAAATCGAGGTAGCAACAATATCTGCTAGCACTCACCAGGCAGGGGTGGATCTTCTCGTTGCTTTGGAACTTGATCAGTAATACCATCCCCCCTCATTTTGACAAGAAGATTAAAAGTTTTATCCATCTGGGGCCCCTCCTGGTGGCACAGCAGGTTAAAGCACAGCACTGGGAAGCTATCATAGCCACTGCGGCACAAGTTCAATCCCAGACCAGGGAAGTGACCCACAATGGTACAGCAGATCTCTCCTGACCCACCCTCAGCAGTGTACCCCATCAGTCGGCCTGTTCTGCTCCCCACTCTGTCTCTGGTGAATCTTCTCAGCCCCCGCACCTCTGACCTGTACCCCAGTTCTGTATGCATAAATCAATCTTTTAAAAAGTTATGTCCATCTCACTGGTATAGACGTATAGTCCATTATATTAATGCTAGGGGTCCCTTTCCTTAGCATCAGATCGAGATGAAGCTAATCTCAGTATTCAGAAATTAATGGATAAAATATTCTGAAATTAATGGATAAATCCTGGAAAGTATGTTACAACATGAGGGAGGAACATTGTGGGGGGACAGGAAAGGAAATGCTCCATGAAATAATTATTAGGGTGGCCTTCCAACCAGGATAGGTCAGGACATGGATTAGAATAAAGTCCCCAAAAGTAGAACCAAGTCTACTTAACTGTGTTCATGATGAGCCTTTTGTAGTAAGCTGTTGCTTCTTTACCACATGCTTTCCACCACCCACCCACCCCCCACCAACGCGCCAAGTGAAATCTGGAAGACATTTAAACAGAAATCTTAGAAAATACCGAACATTTAAAATGACAGGTACTGTGTGTCAAGCACGTGGAATGCCTTATCTCAGACAGTCTTTACAACTTGATTGTTTCCTGTTTTGCCATTAAGGAAATAAGGCTGGGACAGTTTATTCTTTAGCTAAAGTCTGTCTGATGTTAAGTCTAGTAAGACCTTTTTAATGAATAGGATAAAGGCTGATATATTTGATTAAAGTGGATGGCCAAATTAACATTGGTAAATTGACATGTTCTTGGAGAACACTAATATTTATCTAGAGCTTCAAAAAATGAGCCTGTTCTTTCTCTTGGTTCTACCTCAAGGGTGGAGATTTGTATATGAACATTAAAAGTTTGTGTCAGGCAAAAATCAGAGTCCCCCACATAACTGACCAGTGGTTAATTAAAATGACGATCCCATGCAGTGACTGCTCTGAGATCATAAACAATGATTTGTATGATTTCACAGGGAAGAGTTGGTTTATGTACATTACAGTGAGAATGTTGTATTTCATAGGTGCTAATAGAATGTGTGGCTTTTCCTCAAGTTTTTCCTGCCTTCACATAGGTTAAACTTAATATTCAAGAAATTAAAAATGAAAGTGTGACTCCCTCAACCTGCTAATTCCACGTAAAGGTTTTGCCCTGGTGGGGAGGATGTTTGTACATTAGCATAACCCACAAGCCCAGTGAAATTAGAGCATGGAATGCCATGTCACTTTTACCAGTCTTCACTTTGGGTAGGGAAGTCAGTGATGGTAAAATTTCAGGTAAAACATTAAACAACATGGGATTAGTTTTAAATTAAATGGACACAATTATTAAAACTATGTCAAAAGCATTATTAACACAACCTGAGAATTTATCCTCCTTTTGATTGGGGCAAGCTAATAATCATTGGTACCTGGAAGGGAGGGGAAAGAGGCATCCAGAATCCATGACTAGATCTGTCACTCCACTGACTGGGGCGCTATTTTCTGCTGGCAGAGCTCTTTCGTGGAAAGTTGGGTTTGCAGACGCCCAGTTCCACCCCTGATGTTCCTATGATAAGAGGTAGTGGAGGAGTAGGCCACTGCCTGCCCACCCTGGGTACAAAGCTAAGCCCCAGCATCCCCTCTGGACTCCTGGCAGCTGCTCACAGCAGGAGCTACGTCCACCTGGTGGCCAAGCAGAGGAGCGCATGAGGAGCAAGGCCCAGTTTGCGAATACTCGAGGGGGATCTGCTAGTAGGCACCTGGCTCCCAAGTTTATTTTTATTCGTGAACTAACTTACCTGGACCAGATTTAGCTCCCCAGTCTACCAGTTCCCAACCTTTTAGCAAAACTCATTCTTCCTACATCTTCTCGTTTGTCATCTTCTGATTTCCTGATAATTGGTCCACAATTCATCCAGGACATGGATTGTCCTGTTTGCTAAAAAAAAAAAAAAAAAGGAAAGAAGAATTCTGGGGCCTTCCTGGTGGTGAAACAGGTTACATCTCAGCACTATGGAGCTATTGCCAGCACCTACAGCACGAGTTCAATCCCCAGCCCGGGAACTGACCCACATTGCGCAGCAGACTCCTCCTGTGTCCCCACTGCTCCCCTCAACAGTGTTTTCCAGTCAGTCTGCCTGTTCTGCACCCCACTCTGTCTCTGGTGAATCCTCTCACCCCTGAATCTCTGGCTTTGTGCCCAGTTCTTGTACAAATTACATATATATTCTAATGCTGAGATGTCAGGTGATAACAGGAAAGATTTTGGTTCTGAATTAGCTTGACATTCAGTCTTGTTTTTAATCCCCCCGCCTCTAGGATGTTGCTTCAGAGTGTGAAGTCAAATGCATGCCAACCTTCCAGTTTTTCAAAAAGGGACAAAAGGTATGTGTACCTCTGACCTTGGTGACCGCAAAATGTATAAATGGAAAATGGATGGAAGGGACTTGCTCCTGCACGCTGACAGCGTGTCCCATTTTCTGCTTTGCTGAGTAAACATTCTTTATAGATTTTAACACATACTATGACATCTAAAACTTCATTTTTCAGAGGTTATTTGCGTCCAAAAGCATGCCCATCTGTGGAGGGTCTTTTCGTTTTGTGTTTGTCACGGAACAGGAGCCCTGTTAGCCGGGGTGTTTGTTGTTTGCCCTCTTCCGCGGTGGTCTGTCGGTGCTGTCACAGTGGGCATGCAGTAGGCAGCAGATGCTACATGTGGCTAACATCGGTTCAATATTCTCTTTTAACAGGTGGGTGAATTTTCTGGAGCTAATAAGGACAAACTTGAAGCCACCATTAATGAATTAATCTGATCACGATCACGTTTTCTGAAAACCACTCATCGGCTGTAACAATTGTTAATTTTTTTATTTACGAAATCAGATTAAATAGCCAGACTTATTTGCAGCTGCCACTGATTATACATAAAAAATAAAATATTAATTCTACCCTTTTTAAATCTGGTGTCTGACTAGCTTTCGGAATAAATGAAAAGTGACCATTAGATATTTAATGTCCTAATTATTTTCATATATTCTTGATTGCTTTTTAGTAGCCATGTAGGCTTCTGGGTAAGGTTTTTTCCTATTACTGTTTCAGTGTATTTCTGGAAAAATGAGTATCTTCCAATTCTGGGGTTTTGGTATTTTCACACTTCCATGAAGTATTCTTTCTACTGCACAAACCTTTGTGGTATCGGAATGGTCAGCAGGATGAAAATCAATGTCCAGCCCTGGAAGAGTGATCTCACAGGTTACACAGGGTTGCTAATTTTGCTAATGGTAATTGAGTCCCGTTATAATAATTATGAATTCTTCATAGTTGACTCATGGGAGAGTAACCCCAAATACTACCCCAGTACCTTAAACTGACTTTTTGGTCCAGCATGAGTGATTCCAAAAGGGTGTGAAAGTTACTGGTTACACAGCAGCGGGCTGGAAGAATGCAGAAAGAGACAATGATGAAATCTGTATAGTGAAAAATTGCAGAATGAATGATACTGGGCTGCGACACCGGCTTAACCTGCACAGTTAATCTGTGTCATCTGACTCGCCCAAAACTTGATGATAGCTTACTTATTGATTTGCTTGGTTCGTGAGCAGTCAACACATTCCTGTGTATAATGTACTGTATTTATATTAAAGTTAAAATCGTAAGCTGTGCAGACGGCATTACTTACAAGAAAATCTGCTTATAGTGAACACTTCATGTGGTTCAAGGATTAACTGGGATTTGCAGCAGTCTTGCAGCATGCACCGTTTTCTAGTGAGGAAACACGCAACCAAAGCTGAAGTCACTTCTGCAGCATCACACTAGTCCCTGGAGAAGCAGAGATGGAACCAAAGGAGTGTTGAGCTCTAGGCCCCACTTTCTGACTGCTGCAGAGTCTGAGTAACTAGTAAAATGACAGATCCTTACCTCATCTAAAATTAAGGTGCCAAACAGATAAAGTATATTGAGGTAACACTTGTTTACAACGCTATTGGTTGCAGGTATACAGTTTCTCACCTCACTCAATATTAACTGTGTTTATTATTTGCCACACATTTTGTTAGTCTTAGGGTAGGAATGTAAAGGAAGAAGATGCCCTTCTCAAGAACTTGAATTCTAGAAGAGGAAGCAGGCTAGTAAACCATAAACTGGAGTATTCTATGAAACCAAGATAAACAAATGGCACAGTAACTGAAAAGGGAGATCTACTTTGGAGGGCCTGGTTGACATAGGGCCCTGTGAGGTGACTGAGCTGAGAGCTGAGGGTTAAGACTTGCGAAGAGGCAGGAAACCTGCATTCCAATGGAGAGTGAAAGCACAAATACACTGAAATTGTTTACACAAAATTAATATGCAAACATGTTGCTTTTCTATATGTAAATTACCAAAGACATGACAAAACACTGCTATATTACGATCACAACAAAATAAATGAAATACCTAGGAGTACATTTAAGAAGTGATAAACTGTACATTCAGAGCTAAAACACTATTGAAAGAAACTGAAGACACCGAGAAACAGAAAGCCGTGAACTAGAAGAATTCCCATTGCCAAAATAGCCATGTTACTTAAAGCAATATACAGATTTATTGCAGTGCGTATTAAGATCTCTGACAGTCTTAACAGGATCGAGTAAAAACTAAAATTGTATGGAATCGCAAAGACCTCAGATAACCAAAACAGTCCCAAGGAAAAAACAAAAATGAAGATAGACATGCTTCCTGACTTTAGGACAAAACTACAGCAATCAGCATGGTTCTGGAATAAGAACAAGAGTGCAGATTGATGAGAGAGAATTGCGAGGCCAATTCACAACAGAGCCAAGAACATACATGGAGAAAGCTAAGTCCTCAAACTAACGTGCTGGAAAAGGTGGGCATTCACCTAAGAGGCTGCTCTTAGACTGTGAAAGCCAGTGCTTATCTTAAAAAATATAAGGCCTGGGACAGTGACATATACAGGACAGTTGATCATCCCTTTGACGTTCATCTTAGTGATATCTTTGTGGATTTGTCTCCAAAGCAAGAAAAACAAAACTACGAAAACACCATTAAACTAAAAATCTGCCTAACAGAAACCAGCATTGAAAAGGCAAGAGTGTGGCAGGAGGGCAGCGGAGTGAAGATGCTGGCCTCCCCTCTCCACATGAGTGTCTGTCTGACCAGAAGGGGGCAGGTCTCTTTAGTGACCACGCAGCACAGGCCACTAGAGGGCCCCATGGTTTCAGGGCAGCGCCCCCTGCAGCTGTTACCTGGGCACATGCCAACATAAAGGTGCTAACGCCCGGCACTGGGTAAGGGGACACACGAGTAAGAGCCAGGACAGGCCACACGCTCCTGGAAGTACTACGGAGGGAACAGAGTGAAGACTCAGGGTTCATAACACAGAACAGCTATAGCCAGGGAAAGGCAGGCCCCCTAGACTCCCTTATAGAAGAGATGCCGACAGGTTCAGATTGAGCCGTCTGAAACACCAGCCTTCCCTACAACAAAAAGCGTTTACAACAGGAATTCCAAGTTACAGCTACTGATCCTGTCTTTTTAAAAGCACTACCCCTCCCTGGGTCTACTCTTCTGACTACTACATTAACTAGATAAACAGTTGAAAATTTGCCCTTACTAAAACAAGAATGACGGTGAAGAGATAGAAGAATTTAGTACAGACACCAGAACAAAAAAAAAAAGGACCTCCAGCCCCGGCACCTAGAGAAACAGGCTATGAAAACAGTGATGACAGTGAAAATATGGGATAGCTATATTCAGAAATAACTTAAGTATTGTGGCTGATTTAAAAATACAAGTGAGGGCTTTAGTAACAAGCAATGGACAGAGTTAGTGACCTTAGAAAACCATCCTGTAGAATACAAGACTAGAACACGGTAGATTAAAAAGTAAACATATTTAAAGAAATAATACTGAAAACAGTCTCATTCTGGGAAATGAATCAGAAGTTGTGACCCAAGAGGTTTACAGAGTTCCAAACAAAATAATACCAAACAGGCATAAACCAAGACACAAAATAAGAAAGCTGTGGAGACTCAATGATAAGGACAGAATACTAAAAATATCAAGAGGTAAGAATGTCACCGAAAAAGAAAAGCCAACAGGACTTTCTGATTTTTTTCAACAGAAACATAAGCATGAAGGGATTGCAAGAGATATTCAGAGTAATTAAAGAAAAAGACTTCCAGGGCCTCCCTATTGGCCCAGGAGTTGAAATCTCAGCTCTATCAAACTATCATCAGCCACTGTACCTGAGTTCCATGGCCTGAGTTCAGTCCACAAGCCAGGCAGGTGATCTACATGGTGCAGCAGACTGCTCCTGTCTTACCCACTGCTCGCTCCCCTCAGCAGTGTATTTCAATAGATCTGTCCTGCTTCCCACTGTCTCTGGTGAATCCTCTCACCTTCTCCCCTCCCTTCCTCCTCCCCTGCACCTCTGGCCTACACCCCAGTTCTGTGTGTACAAATAAATAAATCTTTTAAAAAAAAAGCTTCCTTCCAACCCAGAATCTTCTCTATTCAGCAAGATTAACAATAGAAAAGAGCTTCACTGAATAGGAAAACTTCAAATTATCAAAACCAAGCTGCATATAAAAGGAATCCGAAAGGGGTTATTAGAATGTAACAAAACAATGAATACTGATGCAAAATGATACATTACTTACATGGAAGAGGAGGAAAGTAGCATGAAGCCTGTTAGAACTAGCCAGAGAGCAGCCCTTGCAATGCAGCACACAAAACAGTCCACCATATCTAGCCTCAGTAAAACACTCAAACAAAAACACAAACACATGAGACATTGGAAAAGGAACCTAAACAAAACAGGAAGCCCTCAAGAAACAGGACTAGACAAACCAAAATAAAAGCCTAATGTAAAATCTCAATAATCGCCTTAAATGTAGATGACTTCAAGTCACCAGTCAGCAGATGCTTCATGGATTACAATAAATAAATAAAACCCAACTGCTCTGCTCTTTACAAGAAACTTACCACAAAGACAAGCATAGACTTAGAATTAAATCTATGGAAGACAGTTATACAAGCAAATGGCAACCGCCCCCCCCCCAAAAAAAAAAAAGCAGGAACACTTGTACCATACAACAGACCTTAATAAAGGCAAAAAAAAAAGAACATAAACAAGGACAATACATTAAGAGTCTAATAACAACAAACAAGCACCAAATGATAGAGCACCAAGATACCTAAGACAAGTAGTGACAGAACCTAGAAGATATTGACAACACCACAATCATATTAGGGGACCTGATACCCCACTTACAGCAATGGACAGGTCAACAAGCCAGTGTGCAGCTAAGAAAACAACGGCTCTAAGTGAGAAGCTAGACCAAACAGGTCTGTAGACCATATCTTGGGACACAAGTCTATTATCAATAAAACAACAAAGATTGAAATTATACCTAGTACCTTGTCTAACCCCAATGCCAAAAAACTAGCACTCAGCTATAAGGAAAAAACCGAGAAGAACTTTGAATACAGGGAGATGAAACAACATGCTGCTTAACTGGACAAAAGAGGAAACCAAAGCAGAAATTTAAAAAGACTTTGACATGACATGAATGAACATGAGAAGTTACAAGACTCTATGGGGTGCAGCAAATGTGTTGAGGTGCGGATAATTAAAATACAGGCCCATTTTGTACAAACTATAATCAAGGAAAATCCCAAGTAAAAAACCTATCACTGTAACATGGCGGTCCCCAGGGGGAAGACTGATTCCAAGTTCCCTGCCCTGCCCAAGGAAGCGGGGAGCTGAGCAGGGAGGAGAAGAAGCTGGAGAGGAGACTGGAGAAGGGAAGAAGGATGGAGGCCAGAGGAGACCTGGAGGAGGCACGCGGAGCAGAGGCACGTGAAGAAGCTGCACTGCTTCTTGGTCCTGGATGGGTTGAAACAGACATGGGCGAGAGACTGAGAAGGTTACCAATGGCAGCTCTCACCTTGATACTGATTTTGTTCTTTTCCTCCCGGACTTAATTTGGCTATTTCTGACCCTT